GAGATGAAGATCCAAATAAAAATTAGAAATGAATGTTTTTTTTGAAACCTGAAAGAGAACTGCCTACAGTTTGCTCATATATTTCCGGACTGCATCTTAAATCTAACTCAACTTCATGCTAACTCAAATCTATACGGGTTAATGACAATGGGTGCGAGATCTTAACCTAGAGTAGTAAAGAGATTCTTCATGTTGGAAAAACATTATTCATTTCTAAAATTAAATAAAAGGTAAAAGTTCAAGAGAGGTTCCTGATGTATTGGCTAAATATTATTTTCATTCTTAATGTATGAAAGTCATCAATGAGGATTCTTAACATTAAAATTAGTAAAACTATAAGTTTGTATTGAGCTTGGAATTTCACTAATTTTCTGTTGACTTGAAAGTGACATGATAGGGCTACGTCATTGCGATATCATAAAGATTTCATGAAATTTTGTAAAAAGGACCTAGACTGATGACGATGGTAATGCTATGGATCCTTTGATGACTCCAAACAATAAGAATACAAGTTATATTTGATCAATACATTAAAGATGTAGAGAACTCTACAGAAGGTCTACCAAAAAAACAAAGAAAAAAAGAAACAATTTGGTACGCATGCTTTTCCCAGTTGGAGCAACTCATAGATCCTTTTCATTCAAAAGACAACCTTTATACCGACCGTTCAAGCTCAGTCTCATGCACACATTTTCCACATAGCTTTCTACATAAATCGCCCTTTAATTAGAGATGACATTTAATTAAATTGAAGGGAGAAATGATAGAAAAGAACTACTCAGCACAGTCGGTTACAGTGACATCTCAATCACATTTACTCGCTCTACAGTGTTTTCTCGTGCTTGCTTTTGCCGGGATTATCCTAATCCTCTTAACCACACGAACGAAATCCCTGTAAAGAAAAAGAAATTAAGACAGTCAATACAATATAAACTTTGAGCGACTTATTTTCAGATGAAAAATAAAGAAATAATCGATATACATACTTTACTCAATCAGAAAATAAATGACATTTTATTTGGTAAGAAAATATTTCACAAAAGGAACAAGCAGCCTCTGATTTATCAGTCTACTTGATATGCAATAATATATGATTGGTGCGAAGTCATAAAAAATTTTGTATCCAGTGAAAAAAAAAATTGTCTTGATATGTAGGTCTATTTGGAGTATAAGTTTCCCGTAACAAATTAATGCAAATTTCATGAACGATTCACAATCAAAATGCATCTTTCATACGGAGCCTACCATTAAATTTCTTTCTTCTAAATGTTTTGTCGTCTCTAGAAAACTTGAAATTTGTGAATTGACCTTTTAAGATTATAATAAAAAAAACTTCTCTTATATTCATTATTCTTGACAAGGAAATTGATGACATAATTCAGAAAAATTCACATCCAATTCACAATCAATTTCAAGAAATTTGTCAAATATTATGAAGCTCATGAAAGAATTGTTTTCTTTTTGAGTTAAGAGAGCGTCGGTATTCATGAATAAATTATAAATGACCAAATTGTTGAAGAGAAAGTTTCGTGACCGCCAGCCATTATCTAATATCAATTCACTAAACATATAATGTCAAATTACTAAGCTGTCAGTTCATTTTGAAGGAAAAAAGAGCTAATTATAACAGGTAAAAATATAATTAAATTAATCACAATTTAAGGATAAATTTCACGACTTTTTCTTCCCTTGTAACTTATTTGTCTATTTCACTTAGCAAAACAACTCATGAAAGCTCACGCATATTTTTTGGGATTTCAAAAGTAGTGGAGGAACCATTGCGTTTTATTACGAGTCATTGATTAATTAATGAATGTGGATCCTTAATTAATAGACAATGGTGGATAATTGAAATTCATCCAAAACTAGTATTTAGTATATCTCCATGAACACCAATTCCTACATCACACTCTATATATCAACCTTCTTCTAATCAATTGAAGACAGTTAGAAAAAAGTGGTCTCTCTACTTTTTTTTTTAAGTAGCAATACATATTTATGTATATAAATTGCAAACAATAAAGTGTTGTAAATATAAAATTTGCTTACTTCCACTTGAGATCACCGGCAAGAAGAAGATCATCCTCTAAATCCTCATAAGCAACCATATACCCGGGCACAGCATTCGACAAATCCAGACCGTCCAACTTACTCTTCCCCTTCTCCTCCTCCACCACCTCATCTCTACCGTCCACATCAACAAACATCCGGTGGAGCGTGTGCCTCGTCAGTTGTATCCGGTGACATATCGATCGGCCCTCGAGGACGACGGTGACTGATGGCACGATGGCCGAGGCTGCCACGTCAGCATCAACGGGCATCGAAAGGCCGAGCAATTTCTTGGTGGTCGGATGAGGAGGAGGTTGGATGAGGGAAGTCATGTAGAGGGGCGAGTTGTCGCTGGTTAATCTCTGCCGCTTCAGTGCATGTTGGTGGGAGTTTATGGTGTTCATTGCTGATGTAGAGAGAGAGAGAGAGAGAGAGAGAGAGAGAGAGAGAGAGAGAGAGAGAGAGAGAGAGAGAGAGAGGGAGAGAGAGAGAGAGGGGGAGAGAGAGAGAGAGAGAGAGAGAGAGTTCAGGAAGGGTGACCAAACAAGGGGTAGCTAGGGTTTATTTTATAGACGAGTGGGGGGGAGGATGAAACGGGAATCGGGATCCTTTTTATGGGGATTTGGATTTTCTCCCCTGACAGTATTCCGGTTGTTATTCATTAATTTCAACTCCAACGCCTAATCATATTCCGCGTGATTTTCTCATAATCTATTTCGTATTAGTAAGGATCTAAATCTTATAATTAACAAGCTTAGTGTCACTAATTTCTAAATAGCAATCTTCTAAAACTTTATGGACAATTATGATTTATCTTATTAGGGCTAATTGCAGATAGACCTCATGCATTATGGTCAAATTGAACTTGCGAACAACGTATGTTTACCGTTCTAGCTAGATAGAGTCCTCACTCCCTGAGTGAGATCTTTTTAAACCATTTTTAAGATAGAGTTTAACTCAGGGAATCTATGTGCAACGGTAGAACCACGGACTAGGATCCTCTCCTAATGAAAATCTCCTAATATCTCCTAATAAGAAGATCCTAGCCTTTCATTTTCATCATGACCTTTCATTTTCCCACTCATCCTTGTGGGTCTCACTCTCAATTCTTCACAAAACTCATTAGGAAATATTAGGTATTAGGAGAGGGTCTCTCCGCAATTAACCCTTTATCTTAAATATTAGGGGAAAATGTGTTAGGGCCCCAAAAGCAGAAACTTCATGTGCTGTAGCCCCTCCTAATTTTTCCCATATGGTTCAGTCCCTTAAAGTGTGACATTTTGTGCTGCAGCTCTTTTTTACCAATTATTATATGCCAGCTAAGCTAAAATCCCCAAAATATCATTATCCCCTCTCCTCAATCCCTCGAACTCAGCACTCATATCCTCTCTCTCTCTCCTCTCCTCTCTCCTCTCCTCTCTCTCTCTCTCTCTCTCTCTCACTCTCTCTCTCTCCTCTCTCTCTAAAACCAAGGGTTTTCTCAAGCTTGTCGCCCTGGCCCTCATCCTCCTCACCGTCGCTGCCTCCGCCCAGGCCCCCAAGGCTCCCCTCGAGTTCGCCGCCGCCTCCCCTCCTCTCCTCCCCGACCTCATCGCCGTAGCTCGTCGCCGCTCCCCGCCTCGCCCTCGACTACGTCGGAGTTCGCCACTGCCGCTCTTCGCCTCGCCGACGAGCTTGAGAAAAGATTTCATTGGGGTTCACCAGCCGACAGTACTTGTTTGCGACTTGCTTTATGAATACATACAAAAGCGAAGAGTTTCTCAGGGCGTAAGACGAGCAAGAATCTAACCACAAAAATACAAAATTTATGCATACATATTCAGAGAGTTTTAGACATGTTTCTATAATGTATGTTTCTTTACTTTTCAGCACTTACCTTCTAATCATTGTTAGCAAATACTGGACCGTAACTATCAACTGATTCTGGTCTTTGCAGATTCTCTAGTTATTTACTTTTGCTTTCTGCGGTATTACGCAACTGCATTGAAGCTGAATCGCAAGCAGTCAATGCGCTAAAGTAATTTGATTTATGGTGCCATCTCTCTTTAATTTCATCCTTGTAGTTTCATGTGAAATAAAATTTCTTATGTGGTTGATTGATGTCAGTTTTCTCTATTGAGCTTATGCGTAAGGTATCGGATATATGCTCATTTGTGCGATGTCTATGCTGGATTCAGAAATGTAATGCCATGTCTTCTGTTAGTTCTAACCCGCGGCATGTTAGTTCTAACCCGTGGCCTGTTAGTTCTAGCCTGCGCCGTGTTAGTTCACACACACTAGGTATGTTATGTCTGTGCTAACTAACTAGATGCTCTTCTTTCAGTTCTCCTTCTCTGTTCCTCTTCATATTTTGTAGCATGTCATTAGGGTTTCTGTCATATAATTTGCACACTTAATTACCTCAATTAATTCGAACCCGGAACCCATCAAATTAATAACACATATAACTATGGTTGTGTACTGCAAGGGAAAAGGGAAGGACACTGCTGCGGTTACATACTGCAAGAAGGCGGACAGGAAAGGATGACATTGCAAGAGGCAAGCTCATCTTCTCAACTCACTCTGCGGCTATCACCTCGCCCAAATCAAAAGCCTACAGCTCAAACCATCGGGCGTTGAACTACTCGCGGCGTGTTAGTTCTAACCCGCGGCGTGTTAGTTCTAACGCACTAGGTATGTTATGTCTGCGCTAACTAACTAGATGCTCTTCTTTCAGTTCTCCTTCTCCGTTCCTCTTCATATTTTGTCATTAGCATGTCATTAGGGTTTCTGTCATATAATTCGCGCACTTAATTACCTCAATTAATCTGAACCTGGAACCCATCAAATTAATAACACACATAGGTGTGGTTGCATACTGTAAGGGAAAAGAGAAGGACACTGCTGCGGTTGCGTACTACAAGAAGACGGACGGGAAAGGATGGCATTGCAAGAGGCAAGCTCAGCTTCCCAACTCACTCTGCGGCTATCACCTCGCCCAAATCAAAAGCCTACAGCTCAAACCATCGGGCGTTGAACTACCCGTGGCGTGTTAGTTCTAAACCGCGGTATGTTAGTTCTAACCCTCCGCGTGTTAGTTCTAACCCTAAGCATGTTAGTTCTAACCCGCGACGTGTTAGTTATAAACTGCGGCGTGTTAGTTCACACGTACACTAGGTATGTTATGTCTGCGCTAACTAACTAGATGCTCTTCTTTTAGTTCTCCTTCTCCGTTCCTCTTCATATTTTATCATTAGCATGTCATTAGGGTTTCTGCCATATAATTCGCGCACTTAATTACCTTAATTAATCTGAACCAGGAACCCATCAAATTAATAACACACATAGCTCGATCTTTTATTCATGAATGTAAATGCGCACGTGTGTTTTTCCAAGCACAGCGTTGCGACTGAATTGACCCTAAAAGAAATGAAGGAGATAGAGGAAAAGAAGAGGCTGGTAGTAATGAGGTGGAGAATTAGCAAGGGAAAAGAGAAGGATGCTGCTGCGGTTGCGTACTGCAAGAAGACGGACGGGAAAGGATGACATTGAAAGAGGCAAGATTAGTTTCCCAACTCACTCTACGGCTATCACCTCGCCCAAATCAAAGCCTACAACTCAAACCATCGGGCGCTAAACTACCCGGGGCGTGTTAGTTCTAACACCCGGGACGTGTTAGTTCTAACACGCCGCGTGTTAGTTCTAACATGCCGCGTGTTAGTTCTAGTTCTACAAAAGAACACTGCAGAATGAGGATAAATAGATGCAGAAATCGACAACTAGCATTAAGAAATTTGACAAAGCTCGCCTACTATACACAACATTTTTCATTCAGCAACTAATGTTTCATGCCCAAAAAATAATAATCCCTCAAAACTTTAACTAATCCTCTAAAATTCTCATGTTTTATATATATTAATAGCCAACGCATACAAGAACCAGAAATTCTCATGTTTTTTATACATTAATAGCCAACGCGTACAAGAACCAGAATTTAACAAAAATGAGCGCGGATTCAATTAAAAAAGAAATCTTTTCTCAAGCTCGTCGACGAGGTAAAGAGCGGCAGCAGCGAACTCCGGCGTAGTCGAGGGCGAGGCAGGGAGCGGCGGCGAGCTACGACAACGGGGGCCTGGGCGGAGGCGGCGATGGCGAGGAGGGCGAGGGCCAGGACGACGAGCTTGAGAAAGCCCTTGGTTTTAGAGAGAGATGAGAGAGAGAGAGGAGATGAGAGAGATATGATATGAGTGTTGGGTCTGAGGGATTGAGGAGAGGGAATAAGGATATTTTAGGGATTTTAGCTTAGCTGACATGCAATAATTGGTAAAAATAAGCTGCAGCACAAAATGTCACACTTCAAGGGGTTGAACCACATGAGGGAAACTAGGAGGGGTTGCAGCACATGAAGTTTCTATTTTTGGGACCCCAACATATTTTTCCCTAAATATTAACTACCAGTGTGGGAGAAAGCCTATCTGAAAGATATTTATTCTAGTTATATTTTGCAACGAATCACAATTCCGGTTGAACAGTAATGGTCAGGAAAGTAGTGCATTTTGAATACAAAAAAATTACGATTAAGGAAATACTCCTTTAAATGACTTGATGACATTGATTGACTATGTTAACAATAAAAAATATTGCATTTTGAACACCGTCCAGCGATTATAACTAAAAACTCTTTCTTTGCTACTAATTAAATGGCAGTGAACAAGATCACATAACTGGCAAAGTGTGGCAGTAGCGAGCTGTTGTTGCTTGCAAGTGAGAAAGATGAGTACGGAGAGATGAGCTGTGAAATAAATAATATAGTAACATTTTTCAATTACTTTTAGTTTTAATTAATAGAGCTTAATTATGAGAGTGAGAGCGTGTGTTGGTGCGAGAGTGAAGCAAGGGGGTGTGTTTTATGAGTTGTGTTTTTATCGGGATTGGGTTAACTTGGGTAGTAGTGGATTAAATTTGGAATAAATTAATTTGAGAGGCGTAAAGAGGACGTTAGGTTTCTTGAAATTAGTCGATATTGGCGCGTGTGTGGTGCGAACGACCGCGCTGCGGTCGCCGAACGGTTCGGCGTTTGACTCTCCAATTTGTTTTCCTTCGATCTTGATGGCGTCGACGCAAATATCAATTTTCATATTACATATTTTGGCCCACAGCATTTTTTATATAATGTACAAAGGATATATACTATATATACATGGTAAATTTCAGTGTTTTAACACTCCGTGGTTGGCCCTCTTAGGATGTTGTTCGGATAATATCTCTTGTTTGAATAATAATAAACTCTCATTTGATACTAATATTGGTTTGAGCTTTTGTAGTAATACGGGACATGTACGAGGCAAAACGACTTAAAAATCAGCTGAAAAGCTGATTTCAGCATCATTACCATCAATGGTGGGTCATTGACCCTCAATAGTGAATGATGGCCCTTGATGGTACTATGATCCATCAATGTTGTAGTAGTCCAGAGACATGAG